TGAGGAAACCTTATATGCATATAGGGCCATTTATTCCAGTCCCCATTGGTTTTCATGCTGTAGTTGCCATATATATAAATGTGCACACGTTATAAATCCTACTAAGTGGTGTTACAATTTTGTTTTAAACAGTCATAAGTATTTTAAGAAATTAAAAGGCTAAATTCTTTTCTCTTTACCTTGATATTTTAGGTGTCTTCATTCATTCCTTAGGATCCATATTTTTCTTTTGAGTATCATCTCACTTCAGCCTTCAGAACTTCCATTAGTATTTCTTTTAGTGCTGGTATGGTGGCAGCTGATTGTCTTAGTTGGCCTTTATCTGAAAATGTCTTTATTTTGCCTTTATCTGTGTAGGATATTTTAGCTATCTATATAGAATTCTGGATTTCTATCTTAGCATTTTAAAGATGTTGTTCCACTATCTTTTGGTCCCCATGGTTTCTGATAAGAAGTCTACAGTAATTTGTCTTTTTTTTTTAAGATTTTATTTATTTATTTGACAGAGAGACACAGCGAGAGAGGGAATACAAGCAGGGGGAGCGGGAGAGGGAGAAGCAGGCTTCCTGCCGAGCAGGGAGCCCGACGTGGGGCTCAATCCCAGGACCCTGGGATCCTCACCTGAGCAGAAGGCAGATGCTTAACCGCCTGAGCCACCCAGGCGCCCTTGCCTCATTGTTGCCATATAGGAATATAGGTATTCAAGATTTTCTCTTTGTCATTGGATTATTGGTTTTCAGCAGTTCGACTATGATGTACTTAGGCATGGCTTTCTTTGTAATTATCATGTTGGGGTTGACAGAGCTTCTTGAATCTGTAAACTTAATTTTTAAAATTTTTAAAAAGATTTTATTTTTTTTTAAAAGTAATCTTTACACCCAACATGGGGCTCAAACTCACAACCCCGAGATCAAGAGTCTCATGCTCTGCTGACTGAGCCAGCCAGCCACCCCTTGAATCTGTAAATTTATGTCTTTCACTAGATTTAGGAAGCTTTTAGACTTTATTCAAATATTTTTTTCCTGTCCTGTATTCTCTTGCCTCTCCTCCTGGGGACTCCAGTTACCTATATGTAGGAAACCTTAAAAAAAAAATTTTTTTATTTATTTATTTATTTACTTACTTATTTGTTTCTTCACCTCAGTGAACATAATTAGAATAGCCTGTTTAAAGTCTTTGTCTAATAATTCCAACATCTGTATCACCTAGGTGTTGGCACCTGTTGATCACTTTTCCGTTGAGAATGAGTCATGTTTTCTTGGCTCTTCATATGTCAAATAACTTGGTGGTATTTCCTGGACATTGTGAATGTTCTTTTGTGGATACTCTGTAGTCACTTACATTCCCTCCGAAAAGTGTTGATATTTTTGTTTTAGTTTTAACAAGCATTTAACTTATTTAAACTCACACTACAAACTCTTGCATGTCTGTGGTGGGAGGTGGCTCAGATTCTGAGCTCAGACTGCCATCAGTCTGACACATGCATGGTTAAGTAAAGGGTCAGCCAGACACATGGGCTGAGTCTGTACACCCAATTCGGAATTCCCATTTTCTGGTTTCTTTGTTCTAGGATTCCTTTTCCACTCTGTTGCCACTGGTTGCCTCATGCTTCTGGTTCCTCCTACCAGGAAGACATAGGACTTTTCTCTTACAGTTTTAGTTGCTTCATGCCCCTGTCCCTGCAATTTCCCCTTCGGGCATAGTCACACAAAAAGATCCCAGGAAATTCACTTTGTGCCAGCTTGCTTCCTCCAGTTTTTGACCCCTTTGCAAAATCTACCTGTTTCTGTTCATGTTCCAGAGCCCTTAGATACTTGTTTTTTTGCGTGTTTTTTTGCATTTTTTCCCCAGAGCTTATAGTTGTTATCAGCAGAAAAGTTGATTTGTTTGCTTATGCCTCCAATCCTGGAGGCAGAACACCTTTACCTTTGCTTTTTAGTTGTTGCTCTTATAGTTTCTGCTTTCGATGCACCACTTCCCGCCATATTATACCATGCTTAAACTACCTCTTTCTGTTTGTTAAATAACGTTTTAAGAAAATAGCATGTTAATGCATTAAAAATAAAAACAAACCATGTGACTTACCTCTTTTAACCAATTCAAATTGACTTCAGTTCAGTTTCTTTTGGGTAGGCATGCATACCAACAGACAAAATCCAGACAAAGTATTTGATATCTTTTGTTTCTATTTGTGGTCTTTTTTCATAGTTGGCTAGTATGTTATTGTATATTTATTCTTGTCAAAGAGGAAATGTACAAAACACTCAAGAAAGAACCAAAAAAAGAATGTTTTTCCTTTCATGTTAATTTTCCTAATCTTAAACCTTGCATAGTGTAGGTTTACAACAATTATTTTGAATTATAAATATAGCAATAGATAAATGAGTTCAACTGTGATGTGACTTTATAAGGGTTCTATTAAATAAGCTTGTTTTAGAGGAAGGGGCTGATAACTTACTTGTGTGTTTAAATGTATATATGATTTTCATACTGTAAGTGCTGAATCCTGGAAACAATATATTGGTTCTTATACACGCAAGGTTTTTATAGTAATGGCTTATTGATAAAGGAAAAACATTAAGATGTGTGAATGCCTGTGTTTTGTGTATATATCTTCTGATGAAAACTTAAAGCAGCTGACTTTTTTTTTAAACTCCTCTAAGTCACTTAATCCACAAAAAGCACTGTGGAAAATTTTAACAGTATTTATTAAGAGCCTTCTTGTTTTCCTAATTCCCCCATGTGTTTAATCTTGAGAGTTAGCAGTCTTACACATCTGTCCTGTGAAATCTGTTATCAGGCAGATTTATTTGAGAGTAACAATAACTTGGACTCCCCCTAATTAGTATTCTTTAGGGCATTAGCTGCTGTGAGAATGGGGCAGAAAGCTTCCTGACTTCCAGATAAGGCGTCCCAATTTCTTAATATAATTACCAGCGTTAAAGCAGCAGTGACAGAATGAGTTCTGTGGCAGTGAGAACCTAGCCAGGTGAAAGAAACGCAGTGTTTGTGCTCTAGAGGCTCAATCTTTGTGTTCTGTTAATTTGTTTCTGGTCCAGAGCATTGGGTTTGATATTTGTGTTCTAGAGGCCATGTTGTCTGGATCTAAGAATGTCAGCTTTATGTTGCACTATCTGAATATTCAGTAGGTCTGTCATATTTAATTGTAATATCATTCATAGCAAACTGCTTATGCTGTGTTCTCCTGCCCCAGGTTTTAGAAGTAAATCAAATTCATTGTTGGAAAACTTGAAAAATATTTGAAAATATGAAGAAGAAAATCACGGTCTCACAACCTAGACGTTAATACTAGTAGTATTTTGATTCGTATTTCTTTTTTAGTTTTATTTTGTAGAGACGAGTATTTTCATAACTTTCTAATATCAATTGGGATCTGACTTCAGATGCATTTTTGGATCTGCTTTTTTAGTTAATATTAGGTCATGAGCATTTCTCATGCTGTCACACGGTTCTCTGGAAGAGTTTTCTTTTAATGGATGCATTGCATTTCACACAACTTATTTAACTCTACCTGTTTTGGATGACCAGTGTTTATTATTTCAAATTCTTTAGTTTTTTTTTAATTTTTTAATGTTTTTTAAAGATTTTATTTGATTGACAGAGAGCTAGAGAGCACAGGCAGTGGGGAGGGAGAAACAGGCCCCTACTAGCTGAGCAGAGGGCCTGACATGGGGCTCCATGCCAGGACCCGGGGATCAACCTGAGCCGAAGGCAGACGCTTAACTGACTGAGCCACCCAGGCGCCCTGAATTCTTTAAAGAGCATCTTTGTACCTTAGTCTTTGTATCTTTCATTTTTAACAATAAATTCTGAAGAAGCAAAATCATTAGATTCAAATGATCTTGAAAAAAAACCCTAAAAACAACTCATTTTTTTCTTATTAAACAGGGATGATTTATTTTTGTTAACAGAAAAATTTTAAACTACCAGAAAACTAAAAAAATTGCCCAGTGCCCCTCTCTTTATTAGTGAAGATAATTGCAGTAATATTTGAGATTTACCTTTCCACTGTGGTATTTAAGTGTATATTTCATCTAAGATAATGTATATTTTGCATATTGTTTTACAGTTCTTTTAACAGTTCTCTTTGTGGACATTTACTTTAAGCAATTTTAGGACTCTCGACTCCTGTTCTAAAATAAGCTTTTATTTATTCTTCTGATTGAGCTTTAAAATTGTTTCGTTAGGGTCACTCAGAAAGCCCCCTGGGATTTTTCACTGACATTTTAACAAATTAATTGTATTGACGTCTTCATTTGGACATACTGAATCTGTATGACCAGGAATATAATGTGTCTCCGTACGCACTTAGATAATCTTGTGTATCCTTGAATGCAGTGGTAAGTTTGATTGTTGATATTTTTATTGTGCATACTATTTAGGGTTATGCAGAATACTTTGGAAAGCAAGGACCATTGTGCCTGACTTAGTACCACAGTCGTAGTTCGCTCTTGGCAAATTGTTGGAATGTGGGTGGTAGTAGGAGACTTAAAGCGGAGATCGATCTGCCTAATTGCTTTCAGGCCCCTGAAGACTACCTTTGAGGACTCAGTGTAAATGTTGTGTCTCTGATTCTTATTCCTGAGGCTTCCAGGGCCAATTGGTGTTGTTTTTGTCATCAGAAATAGTGAACTGGCTGATTAAGTAGGTGAGCTGTGTCCGTCTTTACACGTTTGCATTGTTTTCTCATCCGTGATTCCATGTTTTACAACCTGACGGTTTTTAAAAATGAAATACATCTGGTTTTAGCAAATTTGAAATAGTATAAGTGAACTGATTTGGGGGCACTTCAGTGGCTAATGAAAAATATTATCCTGGTTACTAAAAATGTTACCAGTGAATCTCTTGGGGTGGTGGGATTACAGGTAGTTTTACTTTATTGGGGTTTTTTTCATTTTTGGACTTTTTTCGAGTGACAGGTATGACCTAGGTGTTAAAATATTTAAAGTTAAGACGAAAATATTATTACTTGCCTTTTTATGTGTGTAGGGGCACAGCACAGGGTGACGTCTTGCTTTTGAAACTCTTCCGATGGCTGGCAGGGTTGGTCCTTCATATGGTTGACCATAGTTATTTTGTGGTATCTTTTTTCTAATCATGAAAGTTACGGAATTAGTTTCTCTGGATTTTCCTCCTTCAACTTCTTGGTTTAAACCTCCTGTTCTGGGGGCGCCTGGGTGGCTCAGTTGTTAGGCGTCTGCCTTCAGCTTGGGTCATGATCCCAGGGTCCTGGGATCGAGCCCCACATTAGGCTCCCTGCTCAGCGGGATCCCTCTCCCGCTCCCCCTGCTTGTGTTCCCTCTCTCACTGTGTGTCTCTTTCTGTCAAATAAATAAATAAAATCTTAAAAAGAAAAAAAAAACCCTCCTGTTCTGAAAAGGTGAATATGAAACCGTTTTGAAATATGCTGTTTATTGGTAATATTTCCACCGTTGGGTATTTTTACAACCTGTCTTTTCTCTTTTGTCCTGGGAAGAAGCCCAAATATCACCTTAATAAACAGGATGACTGTCACTTCGTTATGTTTAGCAATAGTGCCAGAAAATGCTAGACCACTGGAGTGTTAGGGAACTGATAATTGATGGTGGTGGTGACCCTCGCACTTCAGACCATGGTTTTACCTTAATGTCTATACCCCACGTCAGTATGTTGAGGCATTACTTGGTGTTTTTCATGTTGTAGGATTATAAAAAGCAAACATTGCTTAAAATAACTTAAAACAGGGGCGCCTGGGTGGCTCGCAGTCGGTTGAGCGTCCGCCTTTGGCTCAGGTCATGATCCCAGGGTCCTGGGATCGAGCCCTGCATCAGGCTCCCTGCTCTTTGGGAAGCCTGCTTCTCCCTCTCCCTCTGCCTACTGCTCTGCCTACTTGTGCGCTCTCTCTCTCTCTTTCAAATAAATAAATAAAATCTTAAAAAAAACTTAAAATAAATCACACTAGTAGGAATGCCCTTTGTCCTTTCTGTATGTTAATTGGAGAAATGTGGGGAATTGATTTGTTTTCCAATTGCATCAAAGGCCAGGGAGCAAACTGCTATGGTGTTGGGAAAAGAAATAGAAAGGACAACACAGTAAAATAAAACTTTGAAACTGGGATTCCCCCCCCGACACACAAATCCTATATTGTTATTATAGAGGTAATAGGGAAATAAATCATGACAGCATATTATATAGCAAAAAGAAATATGAGCTACGTTTAGGGCACCTACTGATTTTAGTAACTGTTAATTCCCGAAATAAGTTTCTATCACTTTGAAGCATGAGCAGGGTCACATTTAGGTGTGCATTTTTGTAATTGTGTTTCAGATGGTGTGTAAGCCTTCCTGACTTATCACTGTATATTGCTAGGTACCTTTATGTGTCTGTGTTCAGTGTTATTTATAGTAACGGAGAAGAGAGTAATTATGAAGGGATTTTGCAAGGTTTTTAACAAGATGGTTCTCTTTTGAAATCTGCAGTGTTAATCTTTTCATAAATATTTGTCTACTGCTGAAGAAACAGAAGGACTAAATTTAGATGGGGAATAGGGATGAAATAATAGTCTTTGCACTCAAGGAATTCATGGTCTAATGATGCAGACGGGTATCTAGACAGTGGGTGCATCAGCGCATGCTCAGTGCTGTGACAAGGGAGGGAGAACTCACCCAGACTAGCATGAAGATGCAGAGAAGGGTCAACCGGGAAGGCTTCCTGGAGCAGGTGATGCCTATGCCGATCCCAGGAGGTGGCCCGGACAGGAAGGCTGAGAAAGTTTTAGTGAAGAGTGGAACCAGTACATCGTTTGGTAGCACTGGAGCAGAGGGTCTGTGTGGTGGAATTGCCTTGTGGGGCGGGGATTTGAAGGTAGAAACACAGAATTTGTGTGTTAAAAATAAGAGTTTGAATTTCATCCTTTGTATAAATCTTGCTGTAATGTTGGTTTGGGTTTTTTTTTTTTAATTAAATCAAGTTTTAAAAATAAAATATTACATTTAACTAGTTTTCTTTTAGAAGTCTGGGGCTTTTGAAAGAACTTCCAGGTGTTGGGTGCCAAGATTGTTGACCAAACAAGGAGCTGCCTTTGGAGAGCCGGATTGTTGTCAGAGTTTGCCCCCACCCCAGCCCTGTGGCACTCTTCCATAAGCGTATGGTGGTGTTATAGCACCGAGTCAAAAATAGATGTACATATTTGAGCAAGTTCTATTTATTTTTAAAGGTCTAGAAGGTTGCTTTTGCATTTTCTCTAGTTCATAGCCTTCTCTAAGAGACTGAGGCCAAATTGAATTTATCTGGGAACCTGCCACATCTATAAATGCTACACAGAGTAATAAGTGGGCCATTGGCTTCCAAGAATTGGTGACAGTGCACTTCAGTTCCTAATTTAGAGTTCATGAAAATTATCCCTTGACAAACAAGGTTATAAAAAAAGAAGTTCTGCTTGACGGATCCATCTTTTGATAAACAGTTAAATGTTGACACAAACATTGCTGGAGCGAGTAAAGGTAGGGAGTAAATGACCGGCCGAAGGAATGCAGATGGCAGGTGTTTTTGTGTTCAGGGGAATGGGAGGTGACTGAGCCAAATCTTATCCCACTCGCTTTGCCTCACTCAGTAGACGAGGCTGGTGGGGAATCGTTGTGGTCGTAATTTTACATCCTTGGTATCGGGGAAGGTGCTAGGCCAGAGCTGGGGAGGCTTGGACCAGAGGCCTGGGTGTGGTCCTTGAGAGAGGGCTGAGAAGAGGGAGGGGCGTGCAAGCACAAGAGATAGGAATCAAAGTGGTTGTGGGTGACAGTGTTCCTCAGACAATAGTTCACGCTCTCTCTCGGTGGGTTGTGAAATCGTTTTTGTGAGCGTGACCAGCATTTTTATAAAAGGAAGGTGTTAGAAACTTTCCGAGCGAGTCCCATGTCCTAAAGGTGAGCTTGCTTTTTTTGATGTAACCTTTTTCAGGTATAAATCTGTACATGTGGATGTACGTGTATGCGCCCCAGGTTGTAATGAAAATGTCTCGTTGCAGGCCGTGGTCACAAAGGTTTGAACTCACATGCTTTAGGAAACTTCCATGTATGCCGAACACTGTGGCAGGTGTTAGTAGTAGGGAAGGAAGTGAAGGTAGCTCTGACAAAGATCTTGATCCTCAGGTGCTTCCTGTCTCCAGAACAGTTTGGGGCCGGGGATTCATGTGGATGGCACCTGGGAGGAATGCTCATTCCTTTATATCTCCAGTGGCCAGGAGGAGACTTCCATGCTTCTCACCAAGAAGGGGACATTATGGTTAAACATCTCACCCTGCTCTCCATCCGCTTTGCTTGGGCCTCCTTGTGGAAGGAAGACAAATGTCATATCTGATGAATAAAGTCAGGAAGAAACTGACACCCAAGGGCCTTGTTGACCAGGGGGTAGGGCCATTGTGTTGAAAAAGGCAGGCCTGGAAACCAGCTTCTGGGGTCCCTTCTGGCAGCAGAGACTGGGAAATCGTTGAGAGTGTAGAGGCTTCTTGCAGCTGTCCCGTCTCTTCACTGATGGAGTCTCCTGGTCTGGATTCCTTAGGCGGTGGCAGCAGCTATAGTCGGAAGCCCCGTTTAGCTCAGGCCCAAGATCCATCTCCAGCATCATCTGCTAAAGACTCCTCTATTTGGGGGGAATATAAAGGTGATGCTGTGTCATCATTAGCTCTCCCATCTTTACCTCAGCTTGTTAGGACCCATAAGAGAGGATGATGCTCCCCACCTGTCGTTCCCTACCCGTGGGAGATGTGGTTGGGAAGGGTCAGGTTCAGAGGGCTTTGGTTGCCGTTGTCGTCCCTGTGGTGTGTGAGCAACGGAAGGCTTCTTTTGCACACCCAGTGGGGTATGGATGTGACTCTGGTGGCATGATAAGGAATTTCTTTGACAGGGCATGACAGGTTCTGCAGGATGGGAGAGCTAGAGGCTGGGTGTGGCTGTATTGTGTCCAAAAGCGGAATGACAATCAGGAGTGACCTCCAGTTAACATTTTTTATGTTCCGGGGTTGGTCTCTGAGGGTGTTTACTTACCACTGACATTGTTCAGATTTTGTGAAAACGAAATTTTCTGGTTTGCCACCCTTCTGCGTTAATTACCAAACAGTTAAAAGTGCATTTTAGCTCCGGATGTGACTTTCGGTGTGTTAATTAACGTTTCACCAACCAGAAGGTGGTGCTGTCGTGCTGGCAGCCGACCCACCTTTCCCTCGGCAAGTCAGACTTGGATCTAACTGCTTATTCATGCTAAGTAATGTGGGCAGATTTAGCATGTGGTGTTCACAGCGTAGCCCTCGTGCAGTGTGTCACCAGATAGGCAACATGGAACGTTCGTGGGACCAAAGCTTCAGAATCTGGGGCTAGGGAAACCCGACACTGGGGCCTTGGTTAAGATGCTTGCTCAGGGCCACCTTTGCACTTGGGGTAAAGTGACACTGTTGGAGTCAGACGAAAACATCTTTTCCGTGCTGTGTTTGTTCCTATACTGGCCCCCGTACTCACAGAGGACAAGGAAAGACTGAAGAAAGAGGCAGACCACTCCAGACGGGTAGGCGGCAGGTTTAATAAAGCAAGGGAACTTACTTACCAGGCTTGTCTTGGGCGCTGCAAGATGAATAGATCTCTGCACCTGCTGGCCAGAATATTCAAAGTTTATGTAGAGGCCTTCATGGGGTTAAGTCACGTGTACTGCCCAGATGGTCGCCACACCACCTTACTGTCTCAAGGCTGTGTCCTTGGAACAGCTCCCACTGTGGGAACGGTAGGCAGGGAAGGACAGGGAAGGGGGTGAGGATCCTCTGATTGCCCGGAGCCAGCTCATGGGTCAGCTGGAGGTCACGTCCTCACCATTATCTCCTCCAACGTGGGTTTGATCTCTGTGCAGTGTTCCATGATTTGGTTTGAAGACTTATGCAATGAGATTGAGAGACATTTCCATAGACAGAAAACCTGTTTTCCTGTTCTTTTTTTGGAAAAGATCTGAGTACCTAGAGGGAAAACTCATGAATTAAGTTTATAAGAAATTCTGTGCACAATTCAGTGCTTAATTGACAACTCAGCCAAGTTGAAATACCTGAGCCATCTCTCAATTTATTTTGCCCACTTGGAAGAAACCCAGATGGTGTGATGGACTTGGGGTAAAGCTGTATGATCTTTGGTGCCTGACTTTACCTCTTCGGGCCTTTCGCCGTAAGATGTCAATGGGAAAATCTGCCGCTCAGGGCTGGGAAAAATTGATGGAGGTAGTAAAGGCACGAGCTGCTCGGTCAGTGTTCACTTCTTCCCCTCTGTCCCCCCTTTCTGCAATTCAGACATTAAAATAATATTGCTAACTTGATTTTACTAAAAGTATGCATGGCAGCGCTGTGGAAACTGAATGCGAAAGCTGTCGGTGTTTGTTTGCTCAGCTTGCAGAATGACGTGGCCCTCAGGTGAGGCCATGCTTGTTGCCGTTAAGTGACTTCCAGTTGAAATCTTCCCTGCCCGTACCTTCTGAACAAAAGACCAAAACTGTTGCCACAGTGATTTTCAGTTGTCTGCCCTCTTCTTTCCCGTGGCTCCCGACAGCTGGGTTGCCGTTCTAATTCACCTCTTATCCTTGCAGTTAGGGGTCTCCCTCGGAGCCTTCTCGGTGGGTCCACTTCACTACTTAGGGGGCAGCTCTCTGTTATGGGGGTTAGCTCTTGAGAAGGGTCACCAGTAATGGGAGGATTCTGGATTCTGCAGACACAGAGAAGTCTGTAAGATTGCTCTAAGGTAGGTCTGTGGATCTATTCTCAGACTTGGTTTGGGAAGCTGGTTTGGGAATGGTCTTAGAAGTATAGTCAGCCCTCATTCTGCACAGATTCGGTGTTTGTGCATTTACCTACTCATTAAAATTTTTCTGTAACCTCAAAATCAGCACTCACGGAGCTTCTGTGGTCATTCACGGACATGCGCAGAAGGCCAAAAATCTGAGTTACCCGATGCACACGGTCCCCAGTTGAGGTGGAACAAGGCGACGCTCTGCCTTCACATTGTAGCTCTCAGACTGTAAACAAGTGCCCTTTCACAGCCTGTGTAGTGCCACGTTTTATGTAGTTTTGTGCTTTTTGCAACAGCCTCCCCCCCCCCCCCCCCCGCTCCGGGGCACGGTGCCTAAATGCTGTCCAGTGTTCCGGAGCACGAAAAGACTGTGATGTGCCTTATGGAGAACATATGGCTGTCAGATACACTTCGTCCAGGCACGACTTACAGTGCTGTTGTTGGCAAGGGCAATATTAAGGAATCAACAATGTAGATTAAATAAGGTATCTTGAAACAGAAGCACACACAAAGCAAGAGTGCGTGTTGTTTGGTTGACGAAAATGTGGCTCCCGTCTCTAACCCTGGTTTTCTGCAGGAGCCGGGGTTCAGAGACTCTACTGTTTGTTCCTTTTTGCCTGCCTTGTGCCTTCAGGGGGTTCAGCCCAGGAGAAGGATTTCTGGGCTGCCTGCTTTTTTATTTTTTCAAGGACAGGTACCTATTGCAGAGCTTCTAGAGAGCGTTCTGGCTCCTGCGTGGCGGGAACACTGGGCTGTCGCCATGACGCAGCCTAGCAGGTGGCTCGCACACTAGCAGTGTGCATAGACACGTAGGTGAATGGAGACATAGGGTCTTTCTTGGATGAGATGAGAACATCGAGCTATATCCTCAGTTTATCAGGACTTTGATCATTTTTAAAAAATTATAGTTGTCTAGCTAAAGGATGGAGAGTCGTTAAATTCAGTTGTACATTGAACATCTTTGCTTTTAATTCTGTGCCTTTAATTTGACTTGAATCAAAGATGGTGTTGTCTTTATTTCTTTTTCTTGGTATCAGTCCTGTGATCATCAGCTGCTACCTTAACGTTTCCATTGCAAGGTGAGCCTTGGGAAGAGCAGGGCTGTGTGGCTTTCCTGGCCAGCCTCTTCATTTCAGCCTCATTTTAGCTGGTGCCTTGGCCCTTGGGAGAAGAGTAAAAAGTAGTGGAGGATTCTTTTCGTTCTAGTCGGGAAAGGAACACATGGCAAATTTGGTTGAAATCAAAGTGAGAACACCGAGTGTCCCTTCTTCTTCTTCTTCTTCTTCTTCTTTTTTTTTAAATATTTTATTTATTTATTTGACAGAGAGAGACACAGCAAGAGAGGGAACACAAGCAGGGGGAGTGGGAGAGGGAGAAGCAGGCTTCCCACCGAGCAGGGAGCCCGATGCGGGGCTCAATCCCAGGACCCCGGGATCATGACCTGAGCCGAAGGCAGAGGCTTAACGACTGAGCCACCCAGGCGCCCACGCAGTCTTTCTTCTTACCTGTGTACCTGGAACGTACAGAAGCCTTGGCCTAGTGGAGCCTACATTTTAAGGAAAGTGTTGTTTTTAGGTCTGTCGAGCTAATCAAATCCTTGGATTCACCGCGCAGCTCTGACCTGTCCTTTGGCCTTCAGGACCCCTTGACAGGTCGGTGATAAGGAGGAGAGGCAGCTTCGTGTGTGCTGGATGCACCGTGCTGGACCACCCTCCACCCCGGTGATCATTGGCCGGCTCGCCACCTCCTTCACTCATGTGCCTGGAAGTCTGTTCCACAGACACGGCTGCCCTGACTTTCTTTTGAATGGGGTGTCTCAGCACCCTACCTCCGTCTGAGAATGATGGGGTGCCCTGTCTTGCTGTCTCGGGGTGGGGGGGATGGTGCCCCTTTTGTGCCCACAGCGTTGGCAGGACCATTATCAGTATTAAGTACTGACACTGACAGGCCTTGGCCAACTTCAAGCCAGGCTTCCTGCATTTTCCAGACGCATCCTTATCTTTCAGAGGGGAGGGCGTCCTCTGTTTCATTTCTTGGCAGAGAACAGCGTTTACCCATTGGTGCATTTGCTTCCTCATCTGTAGTAAGAGTGGCATCGGAACTTAATCTGGATGCTTTTTCTTCGGGAGTCTTCAAACTGAAATTCCATGAGGAGATTATCAGTAAGTATTCTGGATAACTTCAGACAAGTAGAAACAAGGAAATACTTCAAGAAGCCCCATGTGTTGGTTTTTAAAAAAATTACTAGTAGTATTTGCTCTGGAAAATATCTGTCATAGACTGTCTTAAAATCTGTCACTGTTTAAATTCTCCTTTATGTCCTTTCTCATGAAATTAGATCTTTCTTCCTTGCCATTACATAGGCCGCGTTGGGTTATATTTAAAGGGGGGATTAAGATATACACATATAGAATACAATCACGGTATTTGGTAATAGAAAGATTTAATGGATCTGAACGAGGAAAGATACATACACATCAGAACCACAGGCCAGGATCTGAATGGCACCGATGGCTATATTTTGTTGATGTTCACTGCTTGGAGAAATTTTTACAGCCAGTTGATAATCAGTTTTAATATTGCTTCAGAGACATTTTAAGGGAATAATGTTTGGGGAATTACATATAAGTGGAGAGAAAATGTTTTCCGTAAAGTATTTTAAGTGAATTTAAAGACTTTGCTCTAAATTTTCATTGGATTTCTAATTTGAATAAAGGGAACTTTTCCCCTGCCATGCTTGCTAGCGTTTTGAAAAGTGATTATGTTAGAGCTTGATCTTTGGCTTCTTATCTTGATAAATCGAATCCTCTTAATGCTGCAATTTAGCAGCCGCAGTGAACAGTTGCCCCTAGGAGTAAAGATCTTTTTTCATAATTCATGTTTGGACAGGAAGGTGTACCTGGTAATGAATCTTGATTATCTAAACTGCCAGAGATGGGCCTCGGCTGTGATAATATACTGGTTTGCCTTCAGGCCTCAGCCCTTCTTTGAGTGCTTACTGATAAGGAAAAACAAAACAAAACAAAGAATTCTTAACTAGGTAGTTGCCTTGGGGAAACAACAGCTCCTGAAATGTTTTATGTGTCTTAGGTTGAGAAAAAAGAATTTAAATAAAACTCACAGGTTAGAACCAGCTACTTAGGCTGTCTCTGGGCTCCCTGGAATGATTTAGTCCTTTGTCTCCTTATTGCCGCATCACCCCCAGGAGACCCTGGGGGCCGGGCTGGTTTTGTTTTCCTCCTGTGGTTAGCTGCTCTGTCTTTGATACTTTGTCATAATGATTCCTTGTTGTTGGGTGTGAGTGTATAGCCTTCCCTGTAGGTAGGTTACCTCGCTACATAGATACAATATTCATTTTAGGTTGGCTGGAAGATAGGCTTTTCTGTTCTCAGAGAAACGGGGCAGAAAGTGAAGAATATTCTAATTTGTACCCCAGTCGTCACCGCGGAGTTGCTGGCTCTGTTCATATCCTGTCCTAGAAGGTGGTTAAGATAGTCTGTGGTATTAGCTGAGTCTTGCTTTATGACCTGGTTCGTTTTTGTAAAAATTCCAAGTGTGTTTGGAAAGAAAGTATAATTTTCTAATTGGGAAATAATAGGGTTCCACATGTCCAAGAGATCTAGCTTGTTAAATTTGTAGTTCTAATCTTTTATTTATTTTCTAATTATTTTTGTTTGCTTGATCTATAAATGTATAGTTGGGATTTTTTTTTTTTTTTAACTCCTGTGGTTTTGACATTGTTGGTTTTTCCTTGTAATTCTGTCAGGTTTTGCTTCAGATAATTGAATGCTTTTGTTCTGATTACTGATTTGTTGTTTTGTTTTTCACCCAGAACTCAGTTTTGTCTGAAATAACATTTCTACCAAGTTTTTGCTTTTTTGGCTGGTATTTGCCAAATCTTTGTCCATCCTCTTACTACTTTCAACCTTTCTGAGTTGCTGCTGTAGATGTGTCTTTTGTGAATGACAGATGAAATTTGCATCTCTTCAGTCTGAGGATGTTTGTCTTTTAAATGGTGAATTTGGTCAATTTATCTTTACTATTTACCAGGCTTGTTTCTTTTTCCTTAAGACCCACTTGTGGAGCAGGCTGGGTACAATTTCTCTTCCGGACTGCTCTCTCCCCAGCTGCGGTTTTAGGCAGGGACAGACCTGGTTGCCACTGCTTTAGGCCCGTTGGTGAGTCCTTTGTCCTCTTGCGTAAGGGACAGGACGGGGCCAGGTAGGGAGAGATAAGTGGGGGGCTACAGGATCAGGCTCACAGAAATCCCCAAACTGGAGGTGTAAGGAAGCCAGAGATAAGAGAACACCCCAGGCCACCCTGCCCTAGGTGTTGGTGGTGGGGGGAGGCTGGGGTGGGGAGTCTTTTCTATGACAGTCACCTGTGGCCAACAAAGAATAACCAGACCCTAGAAAGAAGTAAGCCATTGAAGATGTCATCACCGGTCCTTACTCAGACCAAGACATCACAAGATTGATAAGGCCACAAGCTCCCTGGTCAGTTCTAAATAAAAGACTTGTCAGTAGAGGCCCCACGTTGGCAACCCTGTCCGGATCCCTCTCACTCCTGAGAGCTTTTTTTCCTGTATCCCTGCTGAATAAAACTCTACAGCTTTACTCACTCTCCTTTGTACCCGAGATTCATTCTTTGAACTCCGAGAGACAAGAACCTCGCTCTCCCGCTCCACTCTTCTCTGTGAGAAAGCAGCCCTTCTGTGGGCCCCTCGGTCCAGCTTCCTGCCCCGCACACGCCTGAACCCACGTCTGGATCTGGGTGTGGCTTCTGGGTTTTGGGGCTGCTTTCCAGGTCTTGGCCCCCCCCCCCCCAGCACTGCCTCTGCTGCTTCTGTTCTTCACCCCTGGCTTTAAAAGTTCTCTGATTTCTGACACCTAAGGATTTCCTTTTCTTTCTTTTTAGCTCAGCTATACATTTGGAAAAAAAAAAAAAAGATAGTTTCCTTTCTCTGATGCTCCTATATATTTCTGGCGGGAGGAAACTCTGCCTTGTGCATTAGCTCCATCCACCTCCTCGCCGGCACTCAAGTTCTCTTTGTTTCTTCCTGGACTGTAAGTGATGTCCGTGGCTACAGATCTTCTTATAATGTTGATGTTGGGCTTTTCTCGCTCTCACCTGCTGAACGACTTTTACCTGTGCCTTAACCCCTGTGTAATATTTAACAGAAATTCCGAATGGAAAACAGCAGTATTTCTCTCTTGCTGTGCACGGACGTTCAGTGGTTCCATGTGCTCATTTACTGATGTGTGACTGTCCAGATTTTACCACACGTCAGATATTTGCCATGCTGGAGGATCGACGGGGGATGGGACCTGCAGGCCATTGAATTTTTTGGCAACCCTTGCTCTCAGAAAAAGCTGCAAAAGCTTGATTTTGGGGATGTGTTGACTCCATTTATTACTTGAACTCCTAATGCCCACAAGTGCTAATTTTCCAGGGGAGCCAAATTCTGGTCGGGGTGTCTTAGCTGTTGCTTAGGCCTCGCCTGGATTATTCTGGAAAAAAAAAATAGACGAACTTAGTGTATTGCATGTCAAGTGCTCTATTTTCCTTTTTCATGTGAAAAAGAAAAGGGAATGCTTTGGTTTGCCAAATGTGTTGTTATAACAGCTCTTGGGAGAGCTAAAAAGCAAAAATGACGTTCTGACAAATCTTTTACCTTAGCTAATTAAGCTCTTTGGGGAACTAGACTGGAAAACTGAAGAGCAGCATGGGGAGAGGTCAATACGATGGTGAGTCTTGGGCCGGCGAGAAATTCTTATAGGTTCTCTGAGGGACCTGTGGAGGGGAGGGCAGAGGCTCCTGTGGTCTGGTTGTCTGTTTGGGTGAACTTTTTATTTCAGAAAACTTTTAAAGATAACCCAGAAAAGACAGAACAATATGGGGCACCTGGGTTTTGGCTCAGGTCATGACCCCGGGGTCCTGGGATTGAGTTCTGCATCGAGCTCTCTGCTCAGCAGAGAGTCTGCTTCTCCCTCTCCCTGTGCTGCTGCTCTCTCTCTCTCTTTCAAATAAAGAAGATCTTTAAAAAAAAGAAAAAAGGACAATATCATAATGAATCCTTCTGTGTATTTACCCCCTCCCTCTTGAACCATTACCATGGCCAATCCTATGTTTCATCTCTACCAACACCCACTCTGTCCCTTTTTTGTCTTACTTTAAAGTATGTTCTAGATACCATATTATAGTCACTGGTAAAAAACAAAACAAAAAAAATTCCATTGTGTATGTCTCCACGACAGATTCTTTTTGTAAACATAGCCACAATATTATTATTGCTCTTAAAAAGTAAGTTAATATCTTAATATCATCAAATATTCAGTTACTGTTAATATTTCCAATGATCTCACAATTATCGTGACTTTTTCTTTTTCTGTTTGAGTCAAGATTCATGTAAGGGCCACACATGGTGATTGCTGAAATGTCTATTATGTCTCTTAATCTATAGGTCTCTCTCATAGACTCTTCCTCTCATTTGTTGAAAAAACAAAAAACAGGGTCATTTGTCTGCGGGTTCCTCCAGTCTTTATTTTACTGATTGTATCCCCTTGTGTTGTTTTATGTATTCTCGTGTCCTCCTCTTTAACCTAGATCCATTATTTTCATTAATGGTTGCTCTATGGCGATGTTGTAATTCTAGCATTCCTTTTCCTTTGTTTGTTGGAATGCATCTATAGAGACAAACCCTGACTTATCTACTCTGTGACTTGCAGTTAGCATAGGAAAAGCAGAATATATTTGATTCTTTCCTTTTGTTTATTGCTTGTTGAAAAAGTGAGTCGATTTACTACAATTCTCAATGGTGACCAGTAAGTTAGTCATTTTGTTTTAGTATCATTATGAACTCACTGATGTATGGCATGTGAATATCTTCAGTGTGATGCAATCAGTTGCAGTTTTGACCCTTACTGATGATCCAGTGGTCCCAGCTTTGCAAGGGAGAGCCTCTGTAGGTTGGCTGAGTCCTTTTGACTTGTCCTGTGATATGATAAGATGTTCCAAGGCTCATCTTGGATGTTTTCTGCCCCAGACCTGGAATCAGTACTTCTCCAAGGAGCTCTGGTTACTTTTCATGAAAATACTATTTCAAGGGCGCCTGGGTGGCTCAGTTGGTTAAGCGACTGCCTTCGGCTCAGGTCATGATCCTGGAGTCCCGGGATCGAGTCCCGCATCGGGCTCCCTGCTCAGCGGGGAATCTGCTTCTCCCTCTGACCCTCTTCCCTCTCATGTGCTCTCTCTATCTCATTCTCTCTCTCAAATAAACAAATAAAATCTTAAAAAAAAAATACTATTTCAAGACCACAGTCTGGGTACTAGAGTGCTCACAGTCCTGGGCTGGTCACTGAGCCTTCAATAGACAGAGCTAAGAAAATTTCTTTTTTCTGTGTTGCTCTCTCTTTCAGATAAAAGTACGTCATGAGTTCAAACTGATTTTCTTATTCAACATTAGGACTACAGGTTTTTTATTTAACCCCTTTCTGTCTTACATACATATCTTCTTTCTCCCATACCAAGAATCCTGGTTCTCAGTGGTACTGGGAATGGTAGAAATAGAATACCATGGAATTATTAATTTGCATTTTCCCATAATATATAGCAGGAGTCTCAGAATAACCAAACCAATGTAGTCACCAACAGTATGACAGTTCACTATTTTTTTTGCATTTTCTTTGAGCTTAGGGTATCTCCTTTGAGGGATGTATAATCTTTTCTTTTTTTTTTTTTAAGATTTCTTTTTTATTATTTATTTGAGAGGGAGAGAGAGAGCGAGCATGAGAGGGGGGAGGGTCAGAGGGAGAAGCGGACTCCCCGCTGAGCGGGAAGCCCGATGCGGGACTCGATCCCGGGACTCCAGGATCATGACCTGAGCCAAAGGCAGTCGCTTAACCAACTGAGCCACCCAGGCGCCTGAGGGATGTATAATCTGATAGCTATTTTAAAGCCTCCTCAGTTCTTTCATTATTTTATATTAAATATGTATGTGTACAAGTCTTTTATAGGGACAGTCTTTCTCTATATGGTCTGTTTTATTTATTCTCTCTCCTTTAATTAGTATGTTTTTAGGTTTTGTTTTGTGTGTGTGTGTGTGTGTGTGTGTGTGTTTAGAGCAACTTAGCATTTTTGTTTATTCTAATGCCTTAGCCACTTCCTTGTTTTATCATCTGT